TTACTTAACGAACTAAGATAATGAATTAAAAAAATAGTAAAACGAAAAATCGAATAAATATTATTCAAATAAATAATCGAAATAGAGTAATTAAAAATGAAATAAATAATATACATAATTAACGAAATATTTAAAGAATAAATGAAATTGAATAATATTTTTTGTACTTCATCAATTAAGATAATTAATTAAAGAAATTGTAAAACGAAAAATCGAATAAATTTGTAAATAATATATATATATATATATATAGTCAGATAATTAACGAAATATAATTTTTAAATAAATATTAAATAGTCAAATATGTGGAAATTTTTTTGTTTAACTGTTTTAATATGTGATTGGATGAATTTATTTATTGGTTTATTAATATGAAATTTGATTGGTTAAATTTGAAGGTACGATATTTTATTTAAAATTTCTTTTATATGGTTTTAACATGTATTAATTTTGTAGGATGTAATATCATATAGACAACGATCTGAGGACTCATTTGGGAAAAGTTACGACGTATTGTAACTTTTCCAGCTATGCGACAGTACTTGAGGGGCTGGACGAGGAGCATATTGACTTACTCCGTCGATCGTTTTTATGGTCGTTTTATCCGTTGAAGGACGTGCAGTTCTTTGGACAGATTGTTGATTCTTTATTACTCCGGCTGCTTAAACCAGTCGATGACGATCAGTTATATTTTGCTATGGGGGATGGGAAGGTATGTAGATTCTCGATCCTTGAATTTGCCCTGATTATAGGCTTGAAATGTATCGGGGAAAAAGAAGCTAGAGCCCGTATTATACGAAATAAAAGGTTATTGGATTTATATTTTGGAGGTAAAGGGCCAGTTACACCACCACAGTTAGAGGATGCATTTAAGAAATGCGATCACATGTTAGACAAGTTGAAGTTAGGATTGGTGTATATACTGGAGAGTATATTGAGGTGTCGACATCGTAGGACGTCGATTGATCTTTTTTCATTGGATGTTGTTGATGATATCGATGCTTTCAACAGCTTTCCATGGGGTCAGAGATGTTACACCGATACTCTCCATGTATTCAGAAGGGTACATACTATGCCGAAATCGGAGAGAGGCGATCGCAAATATGATGTATATGGCTTTTACATGGCTTTGCAGGTAAATATTCAGTGTAACGTAATGCGTGTTGAACTTTTTTATTAAATGTATATGTAAAGTTTTATTTTGTAATTGTTGCAGTTGTGGGCATATGAGGCTATCCCTGCTTTGGGTAGCAAATGGGCGATCAGAAGGGAGACCAGCTGCCCACGAATGCTTCATTGGCGAGCACATGAAAAGCCATCGACTAAATATTTGACAGTTATCCTCGACGATCCTCAGGTGAGTATTATATATTTGCAATTTATATTGTACATACATTTACTCGGCTCGATACATGTTCGTTAACACGTTGAAATATGGTATGTCAGCTCGAAGTTCATGCTGAGTTGGTTGTTTCGGTAGAAGAGGAGGATGCAATATATGTATGTGAATTACTTGTTCCACCTACTGAAGACGATCCAGTATTTGAGTCCGTTCCGGATAGAAATATAGTACGTTTATTTAAGTTCATTATTTATTTTGACTTATAAATTCATGTATGGATTATTAATATTAATTGTCTTCTCTGTGTAGGAGCGCCATCCGGAACTTCCACTTAGGAGATCTCCTTCGCCTCCACCGATGAGATCTCCGTCACCTCCACCGATGAGATCGCCTCTACCGCCATTATCTCATTCTCCGAGGATATCTCCGTCTCCCGTAGCCACCCACCTCCCACATGGATCGCCTACACCCAGTCAGACCTGTCATTCAGATGATTTCTTTGCATGCATGACTGACATTATTAGAGAGGAGCTGGGAACGATGCGACGTGATTTTATGACAAAGGTAGTCGCACTACGAGAGGAGATAGGGGTGTTGCGACGGGATTTTACGACAGAGATCGTCGCAGTATGAGAGGAGATAGGGGTGCTGCGACAAGATTTTACGACAGATGTAGTAGCTTTGCGAGATGAGATTGGAGTGCTGCGATGAGATATAGAAGACCTTCATACTGAGGTTGCAGCACTTCGAGGTGATGTAGCAGGCGTCCGAGGGAATGTCGGGGAGACTGGTGTCCCTCGAGATTGGTGGGCAACGGCCGGGGGAATCGATCAGTTTTTTGGTTCGGTGCCGGAGGTCGAGAGGGAGGGGGTGGAGGGAGGGACAGGGGTGGCCGAGGAGGCAGCGGAGGGAACGTCAGAGGTGGTAGTAGAGGGGGATGATCAGGTTGCGGAGGATGAGAGGACGCCGGAGATGACGGATGACGAGGTAGTATTCGTGTCGGAGGGGGCGACGGACGTCCCGAAGGGTAAGAAGCGTGCTACTGACGTGCCAGAGATGATGGTCGGTAAGAGATCAAGATTGCCGTCACAGTACATCGTTTCTCCCTACACGGTCGAGGCGAAGAGAAGGGGATTTGTGGATGGGGCGTACCCCAATCTTTTTCGCGACGTCGACCCAGTCAGACAGAAGGCGTTCGATGATTGGTTCAAATCCCTTAAGTCCGAGTAAGTATTTTATGATGTTGCTACTATTTTTTTGTATTTTTGGTAACTGTTTTTTCATTTTTCAGAGATAGTTATACCATCGGCTGTATGACCGTGCCCAATGCTAAAAAGTGGTTTGAAGATGTACTGACGACCTCAGCTTGGCTCGCTGATGATGTAAGTTTTTTGAGTTTCCGTTTATTATATTTATACAAGTTGTTGGTTCATTTACTTAAATGACTCTATCTTTTTTGTTGGTGTTTTTTTGTTTCAGCATATCGACTTGGCTATGGAATTGTTACGCGATCGGGCGCGGAGATACCCGAGATCTTATGACAGTCCTACTCGAGTTATCTTGAGCGCTGAGTTCGTTCGTGTCGTAGATATTGAGCATCAGGAGCTCCTAAGCAAGGGGAATGATTATGTTCTGTCTGAGTAGATGCTGGAGTGGGTGATTGGATTACAGTTGAGGTGCGGAAAGTCGTGGACGGATTGTACACATATGTACATTCCAGTGATCGCGAACTCACACTGTTTTTCGGTGGAGATCGTATTTACTGATTCCACCATATATGTGTACGACTCTGATCATAGCTGTCTGACACAAAGTCAACTGGAGCAAATACTGGAGCCATTAGCTGTGATCGTGCCCATGATGGCTAGTCATGCGATGATTCGAGTAACTGATAGATTAGTCATTGTGCGGAACACGACGACGGCGAGACAAGAAAGATCGTAAGGATTTACAACTTTTAAATTTTCAGATTTAATTTTCAATTATATGTTATGGAACTAATATCTTCTACTTTGGTTGCAGGGGTGACTGTGGCTTATTTGCAATCAAGTGCATAGAGTTCTTGAGCATTGGTCGCAATGTTGATACAATAAATCAGTCTTGGATTTATATGTGGAGGCATAAATTAGCTTGCGACTTTTATGAATATAACTGTGATCCTTAGTACATTGTAAATTATTTTATTAAAATGTAAATGTTGTTTACATCAGTAGTATTCGTGTTGTACTGAAAGAAATAAATAATCGAAATAGAGTATATTGTATGATATTATTTTGAAAATTTAAATGATAATCGGGAATTAAATGGACTAAATCGGATGCAATTGGAAAAAAATGACCGATTCATGTAATATTTGGTTCGAAAAAAGCTTTAAAAATTTTGGGGACCTAATTGCAACTTTTTAATAGTTGATTCGAAACATAAAATGATAATCGAGAATTAAGATAATTAATTAAAGAAATAGTAAAACGAACAATCGAATAAATATTATTCAAATAAATAATCGAAATAGAGTAATTAAATATGAAATAAATAATATACATAATTAACGAAATATTTAACGAATAAATTAAAAAAAACAATATTATTTTTACTTAACCAATTAAGATAATTAATTAAAGAAATAGTAAAACGAAAAATCGAATAAATATTATTCAAATAAACAATCGAAATAGAGTAATTAAATATGAAATAAATAATATACATAATTAACGAAATTGTAACGAATAAATTAAATTGAATAATATTTTTTTTACTTAAACAATTAAGATAATTAACTAAAGAAATAGTAAAATGAAAAATCGAATAAATATTATTCAAATAAACAATCGAAATAGAGTAATTAAATATGAAATAAATAATATACATAATTAACGAAATATGTAACGAATAAATTAAATTGAATAATATTTTTTTTACTTAAACAATTAAAATAATTACTTAAAGAAATAGTAAAAGGAAAAATTGAATAAATATTATTCAAATAAATAATCGAAATAGAGTAATTAAATATGAAATAAATAATATACATAATTAACGAAATATGTAACGAATAAATTAAATTGAATAATTTTTTTTTACCTAACCAATTAAGATAATTAATTAAAGAAATAGTAAAAGGAAAAATCGAATAAATATTATTCATATAAACAATCGAAATAGAGTAATTAAATATGAAATAAATAAAACACATGATTAACGAAATATTTTTTTTACTTAACCAATTAAGATAATTAATTAAAGAAATAGTAATCTCTCCATATTGTTAGTTAATATATATCGTTGTCTCACTTATTTTAAAAGAAAACAAACAAATACATGACACATAGAAAATACATATGACAAATGTGATAAAAATAAAAAGAGTAATTAAACAATGTGATAAAGATTACATCCGATTTAAATTCAGAAAATCACAAATACATGACAAATAGAGAATACATATGATTTATATAGATACTACACATCCGTCGAGTCATTGTTTAGTGGGATCTGACTTGTACAAAATCGACGTGTATGTCCTGTAGTGCCACACCTCTCGCACTTACGCGGTTGTGGAAACTCTCCTGTAGATGGTATTCTAGACGTCCGTCTACGACCAGGAGTATGCGGTGGAGTTTCAGGTGGCAACAAATTATTAAGTGCTACAATATAATCAGGAACTTCCCACTCGGTTTCATTTGGTAGAGGAAATATAGTTTCGGCATACGCTGCTCTCCAAAAATCAGTCATATAATAATGACTGCACAAGCTGTGTGGTGGAAATCCTCTATACATAGCCACTGCGACAGCATGTGCACATGGAAAACTTTCCAACTGAAATTTTCTACACGTGCAGGTATTGTCATTCAAGTCTACAATGTATCCAACATTACGCCCGCATCTCACGGAGAAGCGAAATTGACTAGTGGTTCTACAAATAGAGCTTTTGCCACTTCCAGAGTTTTGAATAGTAGATCTTCCTGTGCCGGAGCTAGCACACTCGTGCAATTTTGGGATTCTTCATGTCGGTCATAAAACCACTGTTGCAACTTGCTGCGAATATGTTCAATCATTGCGAGAATCGGTAACTCTCGATCCTTCTTGAGTAATGCATTAAGCGACTCTGCATTATTCGACTTCATCATGTTGTATCGACGTCCTGGAAAATGTGACCGTGCCCAATGTTCGACCCCCATATCTGATAGATATTCCCATGC